AATGCCGCAAGAAGAAGCACAATGAGGAGGCAAACCTCACACTCACGCAGGATCAAGAGCCCACACTGATGTTGGCCAAGAAGATGTCCAACCTGTTGATGCTCAACGAAGAGAAGGTTATGGTAAATCTTCTCACAAAAGGAGAATACTGAGTGGAGACCAACATGTGGTACCTTGACAACGGAGCAAGCAACTACATGAACAGAGATCAAACAAAGTTCAAGGAGCTTGATGAGAAGCTTATTGGAAACGTGAAGTTTGACAATGGATCAATTGTACCGAACCAAGGTAAAGGACCCATCTTGTTCCAGTGCAAGAATGATGATCAACGTTTACTGACCAAAGTATACTACATCCCAAATTTGAAGATTAACATTATCAGTCTTTGTCAGATGACGAAAGAAAAAAGAAAAGTGGAGTTAGCTGACTCGTTTATCAAGATGATCAACAGAAATGGAACCTTGTTGATGAAGGTAAAACAGTCGCATAACCTCTCTATTAATGGCACTTGCAAACCCAACTTGACTATGGCATGCAAGACTTGGGCATGTGAACTTTCAAACACTCAAAATGATGGGAGAGAAGAATATGGCTACATGGCTACCCAAAATCATACACCTGAATCAGCCATGTGAAAGTTGTCTAGTCTCCTAACAAGCAAGACTGTCGTTCCAAGCACAAACCAGTTTCTGTGTTGAGCAACCACTGCAACTGGTTCATAAAAATTGCATGGCCCGATCATTTCATCATCATTGCTCTTAATAAACGTTTTCTCTTACTTGTTGATTATAGTCGTTGGATGTGGGTGTACATGCTCAAAGAAAAATGAGAGGCATTATATGCGTTCAAGAAATTCAAAAAATTCTTTGAAAATGGGTCTGATCACAAGCTGAAAATCTTGCGCACTGACCGAGATGGCGAGTTCTTACCTGAGAACTTCTCAAAGTTTTGCAAGGAGGAAGGTATCAAGCATCAACTCACTGCACTGTACACTCCACAATAAAACGGTGTGGTCGAACATAGAAATCGTACCATAATGAACACCGCAAGAAACTTACTAAAAAACATGCAAGTCTCGACGATTTTCTGGGGCGAGTCAATACGTCATGCAGTTTATCTTCTAAATTGTTTACCAACAAAGGCGCTGGACACTCGCAACCCCTACAAAGCATGGTTTAGCAAGACATCTCACTTCGAGTACCTAAGAGTCTTCAGTTGTACAACACATGTTAAGACTACAAAACCATATATCTAAAAGCTTGATGATAGAAGCCAAAAGATGGTGCACCTTGGCATAGAGGATGGAACCAAGGCACACAGGTTGTATGATCCGCAATATGAGATTATGTAAGTAGAGACGTCATATTCGAAGAAGAGAAGAAGTGGGATTGGTGCAACGTTGGCAATAACAAGCACACTGTTATAGAATTCACTGCTCTGGAAGAAGAGGGAGACACAACAGATCTAGAAAGTACACCGACAGTGACACCAAGTCCACACATGTCATCACCGCCGTGACACCGAATGACATGATGAATTTTCTAGAACCAGAGAGCTCAGGCGAAAGTACAGGAGGATCCACAACAGAAGATGGACTAAAGAAGTTTTGTTTTCTTGCTAAAATTTATGCGAATAAACTTCAAGAAGAATTGGATCCCAAAGAATTAGTGTTGTTCACGGTTAAGGAGTCGATAGCCTAGCATGAGACAGCAACTGAGACAATGTGGCAGGAGGCCATACAAAAAGAGCTTGAAGTCATTAAGAGGAACAAGACGTGGGCACTATCTAACTTACTGTCCAGACACAAGCTCATCAGTTTGAAGGAGGAGTTTAAGTTGAAGAAAAATAGTGAGGAAATGTCATCAAGCATAAAGCAAGACTCATGGCAAAGGGATATGGCTAGACTGGACACTGTATGGTTGATTCTTGCCCTCGCAACTCAATACGGGTGGGAGGCCCATCACTTGGACATCAAATCAGCATTTCTAAATGGTGACCTCCAAGAAGAAGTGTATGTTGCCCAACCTGAAGGGTTCATCACCAAAGTCGAAGAGCACAAAGTGTACAAGTTGTCAAAGGCCCTCTACGGTTTATGGCAAGCACCGAGGGCATGGAACATACATCTGGGCAAGAGGTTAAAGAGTCTAAACATGATGAAGTGCTCACAACAACAAGCAGTGTATACAAGAAACAATGGGGTTAAAACACTCATAGTTGGCGTGTACGTTGATGACTTGATCATCACTAGTACAAGTGTGGAAGGTGCCAAAGAGTTCAAGTAGCAAATGATGAAAGAATTTGAGATGACTAATCTCGAGTTACTCATGCACTACCTCGGTATTGAAGTGGAACAAAGGAAAGATTGTGTCATGCTAAAGTAATCGGCCTATGCTAAGAAGTTGTTGTAGCAATTTAAGATGACAGTGTATAACCGACCAAGTATCCCATGGAAGCAAAGTTACAACTCGAGAAAGATGTTGAAGGAAGCTTGGTGAATTTCACCGAGTATAGGTACATCATCGGAAGTCTAAGGTACTTGATTCATACTCGTTTGGACCTTTCCTATGTTGTTGGAATAGTGAGTAGATACATGAAGAAGCTCACTATGATATTTCATCAAGCGGTTAAGCACATTCTCCCTATGTGAAGGGAACCACAAGCTATGTGTTAAAGTATTAAAGAGGGCGAGGTCCGGAAGAACTAGTTAGTTTTACCAATAGTGATTTAGCTGGAGACATTGACGATAAAAAAAACACTGCGGGAATGACGTTTTATCTCAACAAAAATTTGATCTCTTGGCAATTTCAGAAGCAACGAATTATGGGACTATCTTCCTGTGAGGTCGAGTTCATGGAAGCAACTGCGGCATCATGTCAAGCATTGTGGCTAAGAAATTTGTTGAGTGAAGTGACTAGAAATGAACTAAAGTCAGTAACTCTCTACATTGATAACAAATTTGCGATTGCACTGATGAAGAATCCTGTATTTCACAAACGGAGCTAACACATTGACACACGCTTCCACTTCATACGTGAATGTGTTGAGAAGAGACAAATCGTCATAGAGTTCATATGCACTAGAGAGCAACGTGCGGATATTCTAACCAAGGCCCTAGGAAGGGTCAAGTTTGCAAAGATGCGGGAATTGCTTGGAGCGAAGAATCTCGAACAAAGTCAAGTTTATGGAGGAGATTGTGAGCTTCTACACTTGATTTAGTAGAATAAGTCACAAACTTATAGAATAACTTTAGGAGAATTGTTAGAAATTGTGGACTAAGTTTTATGCTTTAATTAGGAAGATTCTTGAGGAGAAGTTTACGAAGTGCTTTCTCCATTATAAATGCTCATAAGGTTTATGCTCTTCTCGCCGCTACAACAACAAAGAGAATTGAAAAGCTAAGTGGTTTGATCCAAAAGATCTCTCGCCTCAAATTTTTCCTTTACTTCTCTTACTTGTTTCAACATAAGTTTGATCGTGGGTCAAATCCAACCGAAGATTTTTGTGTGTTGTGCAACCATATAGGTACTTGTGATGAAATGGAAGAGAGAACACAGCATGCAGCGAGCGTATGATGGTGAAAGAACTGCGGAGGCCACTTCCATGAAGAACGGACCTCCGTCACTAAAGGAGTTGCATGGGGAATGCAAACGGAGAGAGAGAGAGTACTAAGTAGAAACCCGGAGACTACTTTCATTTCTTTTGTATATTTTTAACGTGTTAGTGCGATGTGATAGCCTAAATGTAACTAACTCGAGACTTTTGTGATAAAAAGTAAGACCAACAGATATTTGTGTAAATTTTAACAATTTTAAACTGCAGAGCCATAAAGGACTATGTGAGATCTTAACATCGTCATGGCATGCTCAATTATCTATTAATCTAGCTATGTTAAGTTCTTTAATCATTATTGTAGCTCACATAGGTATGTGATTCCCTTTTACCCATATCTAGATACTGACTATGGTACACAACTTTCATTGTTCACACATCATATGTAAATGGGTGGATTTCTCATAGTTGGTGCTGTCATATATGGAGCCATTTTTATGGTAAGAGACTATGATCTAAGTACTCGCTCCAACAATCTATTAGATCGTGTATTTAGGCATCACTACGCAATCATATCACATCTCAATGGGTACTCTTCGATGCTCTGTTGGTTCCTTTAAGAGAGAACAAAATCACTTGACATATCAAAATTCCTAGAAAGTATCTCAAACATGTCCTTAATTGTGATTTGCTTCTTCCCCACAAACCAACAAACTAACTAAAAGTACCATGTAACTTTGTCAAAATAAATGGAAAAATATAAATAAATATGAGAACATAAAAACTCCCACCACATTTATATGTCTAATTTACATTAATCATTGCATTTTAACAAATTTTATATGCTAAAATTATGCATAGACGTTTAAAATGGAATTCTAATCAAATATCAGAAATTGATTGACTAATTAACTTGTGAAAAACTTAAGAGTTCAAATTCATACAACTATACGTTTAGAGTTTTATTTAATCCAACTCCAAAGGTTAGGGATATAAATGGAATGTTTGTTCGTTCCATTTACAGATTTCATAAAATTAAAATAGATCATTGAACACACACCCTTCCTTGAAGCAAGTAAAGATTTAAGAGTTATTGTCCTCCCAAAGACATACAACCTAAGTGAAAACCCAAAATGTTCTGATAATGATTATAATCAAAATTATATTTTTAATTCAAATTCTAAGAACTTCTGAGCCAACTTTCCACTAAAAATCACATGAGGAACAGTTCCTTGTTGTTTATAAGTTAAGATAGTCCATCAAAGTCAGCATGCTGAGAAAAATTTCTCCATTCCCAATTAAGCAGACTTGATGACACCTTTCAAGCAAAGAAAATGTATCTAATGTATAATATTTCCAATATATGTATAAGATATAGTTTTACCATAGGATCTGAATTGTAGCACTACATTTTCAGGGGGGGGGGGAAGGATTTATAAAAATTAGAGATATTGGAAGGAAAGAGAAAAAATATTCGTTATAATCAGTCTGAGGTAAAGAATAATAATACATGCTACTAAAACCACAACTTGAAAAGAAGGTAAGAGCTATATAGACCTTGGTATATGATAATACCCATATTATTATTACCTAATCTAATCTGTAGCAACAAAATTTTCATTTCCAAACCAATCTGAGCAACGCTCTATTGCAACCTTGGAGGGCCTCATCAAAAAAAAATTTATTGATAAAGGTTGAGACCCGTCGTCGTCGTTGTCTTCGTATGGTCCGATGTACAAAATCCTGCAACAGAAGTTGATGATGTGATTTGATGTCAAACTCTAGCTTATAATGCCGAATTTCCAGCTTACAACCTTGATCAGCCAAGAGGTCATATCTAGTGTGTACTGACTCTATTGTGACCAGAGTAGATAGATTATGGAATCACCAAACTTAACTATCTGGTGAATTTGGAGCTCCTTTTTTGCTAACTTGAGAAGTTAAATAGTAATTGTAAAGAGTTGTTATAAAAAGAAAGAGAAAAAATAAAGCATCAAAATACCATGTCCACAAAAAGCTTAGGTTGGAAGAAGTGGCTTTCTCTCATCAGATTCAACAAGATGACTAGCCTGCAAATAAATCAAAGGCATGTCATTCACGGTGCGTAATCCGAGAATTTTTCATAGAATACTCTGAAAACAAACTCAGAAGACGAGCCAAATCCCCACCTCTTCATTTGCTCCTGCTGCCATATTTACGAAGGAACCCTTTGACCTGGAAAGGAAAATCCCAAAAAACTAAATATCCAGAAAGAAAAACAATCCAAACAGGTTTTCCACCGATGAACAAATCAGTCTCCAAATCATAATCAAAGAATTTTTCATGGTGAGATCCCACATCGGTTAGAAAGGAGAACAGAACACTAAGAGTGTAGAAACCTCTCCCTAGCAAACGCGTTTTAAAAAACCTTGAGGGGAAGCTCGAAACGGAAAATCCAAAAAAGACAATATCTGCTAGCAGTGGGCTTGGGCCGTTGGTTGAAATTGTTTTAAGTATAACAAAAATGAACCCCATGAAAACTAACCACACCAGATTGATGTCTCACACTATGTATAAGTTCCTACCTCTGGTTATCCACATCCACCATTTCAGTAACCCCATTCTGCTCGTCTTTGACTTTTGAGAGGGGTGAGAAGAACTGAAACACAATATCAAGAATTAGTGGTCGATAATTACGTTCTTGATAGCATATTTAGACTTTTCAGTGTTATCCCCTCCACGAAGTACCTGGTGCATAGAGATGAACACTATAGATATTCCCAAGACAAAGTTCATAGTCAACTGATGACCAAACATGATGGCTGACGCTATGCCTGTAAATATGGTAGCAACTGTTGAGGAGTACTTCTTCAGAATTGTATCTGCAAGATACAAAATAGAACTCTAATCAGACGTGAGATATTATTAATACATGGACAAAAGTGACCAGAAACTTGTAATATTACAGCAGTTTTCTACATAAGAAAAATGAATGCTTTAATCAAAAAAATTATTGAGAAGCCTTTTAAAAGTTTAGTTTACCTGCATATTTGAAGAAGAAAGAGGATAGAATTCCTTGTGCTGCATTATTAGCTATAAGCAGCATTGTGGCTTTAGAATGACCTTGGAGTATATCAAAGCTGCTAGGACCTGACATATACAAAAAGCCAGAAAGCAGCTAATCAGAGCTCTAAAATGCCATTGAGCTAATACATTCACATTGAAGGCAGCCAAAATCAAAGACAACCTGAAAATGTTGAAAAAAATGCATAATTGGCAGCTTTTGATCAAACATTCCAAACAAACCAAACATTTAATTCATTAAAAAATATCTAATCTGAAGAGAATTTAGTAAGAGAACAAAGTAAAGAATATAAAATGGCCAACACAGTAGGAGTGAGATTATAACATGATAGTAACGCTTACGCCCCCCCCCCCCCCCCCCCCCCCCCCCCCCCCCCCCCCCCCCCCCCCCCCCCCCCCCCCCC